TCCGGTGCGACAGTGGTGGCGGCAGGCCGCACGTCTGTTCTTCTATCCGGCAAGGCACTGGTGGCTAGGGTTTGTGGTCGGGGTGTGGGTGGGGTATTTATACCCTTCTCCCTTTAATCTCAACTGTCCATCAAGATTTAATATGGACCGTCTGATCCCGATTTATTTGAGATTAAATCTAGGCCGTCCGTGCCTGATTGAATCTGGTCGTCTGTACGCGTGAGATCTGGGTCGTCCGTGCGCGCGAGAACGGATCTGGGCCGTTCGATCGCGCGCACGTGTATCGCCCACGTGGTCCGTCCCGTGTCAGCGTTCCTTGTCACGCGGTGTGTCCTGGTTGGCCAGAGCTGCTGACGTGGCACAACTTTTATAAATTGCGTTTTGACCCCCGGTTTCTGATTTTCTTTTCAAAAATATCCACATAATCTAAAATTTCACCCATTTTTCCTAAAATCAATTTCAATTAAATCCAAAAAATAATTTTATCATATTTTATTATTATTATTATTTTTATTTTCATTAAATTAAATTAAAATCTTATAAATTAAATATATAAAAAAATTAAACTAAAATTCAAATACAAAAATAAAAATAATAATTTGGGTGTTACAATTATACTTATATGAAAAAATAAAAATATTATTTTATGAACAATATTTATATTCTCGTGAAAAAAATATTTCAATAGAAATATAAAAAAATAATGCTTCAAATTTAATAAAATTATCTTAATATTTAATATTTACCATGAACTTACGATATTAGGTACATAACATAATGAAACAATTAAAAAATAAATATTTTTTATAGTGCATGGTTCTTTTTGTCAATGGTCAATTGTGTATTTCTTATATTTTTTAAAGTAATATTTAAGTTATTTAAATTATTAATATTATATATTATCAAGTGATAAATAAATTGATACATTTTTTAATAGGATAATTGGTAACATAAATAATAGTTTGTAAGTATGATATTTATATTGAAAAATAAAATAATTTTATTTATTATTATGACTAATAGTTGATAATTTATTTTTAATATGTTATTTATTTATTATTTGAAATTGTCACATTAATTCACATGCAACACAATGTATTAGACACCACAATAAGTCAAATATTTTTTATTGAATGGGTCGGTACATATGCGTCGTGATGCAATTCCCTTTACCAAGTTTGGATTTTTTTAATCCCTAATTTTTTTTATATTCACATACATAATATAAGGTCAATTACAGGTGTCTTTTTAATTATTATTATATTTATTATTTTAAAAATTATAGTTTTATTTTTATATATTTAATAGATTATAATTTAGTTTAATAAATTGATTAAATATGTTGATTAAAAAATATCAATCTACAATTGGTGATTTTTATTTATCATATGATATTTTCTCACACATATGTAGGACTTTTATTTACAAATTTAGAGCCCCATTTGTGTTTAAAAATATTGATAATTTTTATTTTATAAAGTTATATGTGTGTGTGTGTGTGTGTATACACACCAATATGTTGCGTGATACTATTTTTACAAACAAACACTTTGCCTTTTCAAAAAGAATGAAGATGTATTGTTAAATTTTTTAAATAAAATATTAAAAAATATATTTATAAACTATACTATATTTTTACAATTATAAGTTTATTAACAAATATTATCCACGTTCTTAGTGATTTTATAAAATAAAAAAGTATAAAATATTTGGACTTATTAAGCAAAATATACAATTTCAAAGTAATTAAAATATTTTTTATTAATATTTTTACTTTCCTTAATTTTGTCTATTTTATATAAATTAATAGTTGAATTAATTCATTTGTTTGTGTTCTGAAATTTCGTGCTTATATATATATATATTAACATCAAGAAAATTTTAGTAAAAGAATTAACAAAATAAAATAACATAATTTTCAAAAGCATTTAAATGAAAATTGTCAGTTATGACATTTTTGAATGCGATTTTATAATACTATTACGTCATAAACTTACTTAATTTAAGTTTTATTTGTTAATTAATTGACTAAATCAGTTATTTTATATTTTGTTGGAACGTAATTAATTTATAAAATTTAATTAAATATCTTAAAAATAAATTTAAATTAATTATATCGACCAGTATAATTAAAAAAGAGAATTATTAATCCCATAGAAATAATAATTACAAAGCTTTTTGTGACATAAAAGTATGAAAAAGTAAATTTTAATGATAAAATAATTATTTTATCATTTAAGTAAAGCTTTATTCTAAAACTTTCGTAATTATTAAACTATTAAAAACTTAAATAAAAGCAAATTACTTTCCTCCCTCAAACATTCCGACTATTGAGAGTTCGAATGGCCGCACCCATAGAAACCAGACGAACCCATAGAATTCTCCTTCATCCAACTTTTTTCAACCTCCTCGTGGGGTAATACACTAATGGCTCGGAACTACTTTCCACTCTGGGTTTTCTTCCCAAACGCCCACGCGCTCCCTATTGAATCACAACACGTGTTGAATAGTTTACATTATCTCACGCTATTTCTCAGCGTTTGATCGCAGCTTCACACATTTCCAACTTCCACTTCCTTCACGTGCCACTAACTCGCGTGCCCCTCTTCTCGAAGAAACTCCTGTTCCACGTTGTAAAATTCTACGTCTTCGTACTCCGCGGCTCCATCATTTTCCATGCACCTTCAACACTCCTGCCCGTTCGATTCCATACGGTTGATCCCGTTTGATTATATGGAGCGAAAGGTGGGCGGTTCATTATACTCGCGAGTCGCGAGATTTAAAGAAAGAATAATAAAAAAGAAGTTCCATTTGAGAAGCATATTCTAAGGTCAGGTTTTTAAACAATAAATCAGAGCTCAAACACACCCTCTCTTTCTCTCTAGAGGTTGAGGTCGAGGTCGAGGTCGATTCACGCTATCTCTCTCCTGACTAGAGAACTTCATTTCTCTTTCACTCATATTTGTCTCTCGGAATCTACAGTTTGTTTTCTTGTTCTGATTAACGAAGTTTGTTATACAATCAGTAGAAGATGCATTCGAGTCACCTGCTTCTCGAGGAGCCAATTAGGATGGCTTCAATCCTGGAGCCATCTAAGTCTGTAAGTTTTAATCTCTAATCATCTACTCGTTAATATTTCTCAACTCCAGGGTTTCTGCTTTTGGATCTGTAACGAAATATGTTTTGTAACTTTTGTTTGACCTAGTGTTTTATTAGATTCGCTGTTTGATTGCTGATGCTTTGATGATTTTGCAGAGTTTCTTCCCTGCAATGACGAAGATTGTGGGGACTCTAGGTCCCAAATCCCAATCCGTCGAGGTTATCTGTGGCTGCCTGAAGGCTGGAATGTCCGGTAAGTGATTTTTCGTCTTTTATTTTCTACCTATTGTTTATTCATTTTTCAAAGATTTCTCAATAGTTTTTGAAGTTTATATTTATAGGTACGGTTTGTTTTGGATATAATGATATCTGTTTGTTCTTTCAGTGGCTCGATTCGATTTTTCATGGGGCGACCCGGAGTATCACCAGGGAACCCTGGAGAATTTGAAGGCGGCAGTGAAGAGCACCAAAAAACTTTGTGCTGTATGTTCATTGTTAAGATTTTAATTTGGATTTCTTTTTCTTCTAATCGTATATTTTCATTTGGTTAGGTTACTAAAAATTACCACAGGAAAGAAAAAAAGGAATACTACCATGTGTATATATCTGGAGTTTGTTAATAGCTTGTGCTGATTTTATACGTCATATTGTTTGGTAACATATTGGAACTGCGATTACTGCTCTTTTTGTCCTTTTCCCGTGTTATTATGCTTTCTAAAGCAGAAAGTTATATAGACTATTGTCGTTGGCTGTCATCTGTTTTTCAATGTGATGCGTTGCCATGTGCTGCTATTATGCTCGTGCTTTAGTGAATAAGTACGGTCCTGCTTGGTTTTTCAGGTTATGCTGGACACGGTGGGACCTGAGTTGCAGGTAGTTAACAAAAGCGAGAAATCTATTTCACTTAAGGCAGATGCCACTGTTGTTTTGACGCCAAATCAAGAACAAGAAGCTTCTTCAGAAGTATTGCCCATCAATTTTGATGGTCTATCAAAGGTTCAAAATCGCCCTGCATTTTTCTCGTAATAGTTTTGAGTACAATTAAACAGCATGCATTTTAAACATTTAAAGTGGTTTTAGAAAGGAAAAGAATCCTCTGAAGCTACTCTTCATTGTTCAACTTCTATGAAGTTTATTTCTTTGCTGCATCTGATAAAAATTGTTTTTTGGATGATGCGTATGTAGAAAATCTATTTTTTTTCCAGTGTTTAATTTACTAGCTGCTCTTTCTTTCCCTCTTTCTATAGTGGAGATAGTTGCGCGTAATGATAGATCACAGCCATTTTATTAAAAGCTTGGGGTAAGAATGGGTTTCGTTCTAATGGCCGAAAATAATATTCTAAAGTTTTCGTATGTTCTTCACTACTTATGTAGATATGGCCTATGTTATGGCTTCGATTATAGGGATCAATTTCTAGTCTTATAGCTTCATAATAAATCTGTAATGCTTCCACATAATTTTCTCCGTATTGACCGGCTCCTCTGTCATTAGGTCACCAACTTCCTTGACCTTCTGGCACTGGCAGGTGTCAGCGCCCGTACATGGTCTTACAACTTTGTGGAGACTTGTGTTTTTGATAAACAGTTGCCCAGACCTGGTCGCTGCAATCCCCTCTGGGAGGAGGCACCACTTATCCAGAAGTTACGAGACTATTTTGTAGAGTTCCTTAGAGAAAGTTGTCTCACGCCCATAGGTCATTTTTGAAGTAAAAAATTTTTGAAGTCAAAAAATGAATATTTGTGAACAATGTGGATATCATTTGAAAATGAGTAGTTCAGACAGAACCAAGTGTGAATTGAGATTCTTGAATGCTGTTTCTGAATAAGATTAAATGTCTCATCACGGCAATTTTGCATTTGCAGTCATACACATGGAAAAACATGTCTAAAAATAACTGGCCTAGGTAGTGGCAAATCTTCCCTCAAGAATGCATGATATGTACATGTTACTTTGTGCTCTAAATATGAATTTTAGGATTGACATGGTATTGTTACTTGCAAACTTTGTAAAAAGAAAATTTTTAATTGGTTTATGCAGGCAGTGACAAAAGGAGACACTATTTTTATTGGCCAATACCTCTTCACAGGCAGTGAAACTACTTCTGTTTGGCTAGAGGTAAGAAGCAAACTAAAATGAGGTCTAGATTATTTTGTGTGTATTCCTGTTTGGTGTCTATCTTCTGGCTGTTTAACTTGTTTGGCTCTTTTGTTCTTCTTTGCTGTTGTGAGCTTCTCTGTCACTCTTCTTCCTCATGTGATCCTGTGTGATTAAACCTTCAACGTTAACCTTTGCATTTATGACCTGATTTATGGCCAATATTAGCTGCAAGTTGTCTTCTTAATATATTTATTGTTATAAGCCTCTCTCCTTGTTTTCTTTCTTCTTTTGTTTAAAAGATCCTTTGCGTGATGATTTTTATTCTTAACTTCATCTGAACCTCTTGGCGATGTAAAATATGTGATTGCATTTGTTGCCTAGATTAATTGCTGTAAAAATATGTTATAGTAAATCTGATTTGGTAGTAAAAATATTTTTAGCTTGCCTGGAAGAGAACTTGTAGAGATGTACTTTCAAGAAAATTTGTTATGGATCTTGCATGACTGGTAATTTCTACATGGAGTGTGCAGGTTGACGAAGTCAAAGGGGATGACGTCATTTGTGTGATAAAGAACACTGCAACTCTTGCTGGTTCATTGTTTACTTTACATGCCTCTCAAATTCGTATTGATTTGCCAACCCTCTCTGATAAAGATAAGGAGGTAAATTTTTCCTTTAAGCCTTTTAATAATCCCTTAAGCATGCTACGATTCGTCTCTCTCCCTCTCTCTGTTCCGCTCGCCCAGCCTCCCTGACTTGTTTTAACTATTTTTTTTTTCCTCTCTAATATTAGGTCATAAGTACTTGGGGGGTCCAAAACAAAATAGACTTTCTTTCGTTGTCATACACCAGGCATGCAGAAGATGTTCGCCAAGTAAGTTTGCTCCTAAGTTTGCAGCCTTTATCTGGGGCATTTTTAAAATTTACCTTAGATTTCTTTGATTATTCTTATTATTTGAATAGCTCTCATAATCCACTGGCAATAATGCAGGCTCGAGAGTTCCTTTCCAAATTGGGTGATCTCAGTCAGACTCAAATTTTTGCTAAGATTGAGAACGTAGAGGTGAATTTTCTTTGTTGTTTGCTTGATTAACTCAGCTTCTTAATGTCTGTATTCTGATTTGGAAGGAGTTGGCATCTCTTTCCAGGGATTGACCCATTTTGATGAGATCTTGCAAGAAGCAGATGGTATTATTCTTTCCCGTGGGAATCTTGGCATAGATCTCCCACCTGAAAAGGTGAGTTCATTACACAAAATGGTCAGTCTGTTTCCTAGCTTAATATTTGTATTTTAGTTTGGTTTGATTTGGAGGGCATGCTTTCACTATATTCATTTATGTTTAGAAATGCTCAAATTTCCTGGGTTTTGTGCATATTAGTTTTCAAGGCTGTGGTGTTTTAGGAGACTGTAAATTTTTTGTTATCAAAAGACATTTTGGTGACTGTATCTTGGTATTTTTCCTAGGAACTGGCAGTATAATACTAGTAACTGAAACTTTTCCAGCATTATGCTGTCAGAATTAATTGTTCAGGCCTATTGATGTTTCGAATTCTCGTACTTCATGTGGGTGTAATGCTAGTATTTGTTATTTGGTAAAGTGCACTGCTGATCAATAGCTGTGTTTTGGCAGTGTTTTTGTTTCAAAAAGCTGCCCTTTACAAGTGTAACATGGCTTGGAAAGCCTGCTGTGGTTACTCGTGTTGTGGACAGTATGACTGATAATCTTTAGGCAACTCGTGCAGAAGCTACTGATGTTGCTAATGCAGTATTGGATGGTATGTCACTACTTTTTACCTTGAATATCCTAACTATCTTTTAAGTATTTGATTGCATGCAACATGGGTTATTGATGTAGGAGATACCCTTTTAGTAAGATCGGCTTTGGCATTCTCTACTATCCTTCATGTTATCCCTGATACATATATAATCTTGGTTTTACAAAGCATTAATTCCTTCCTAATTATTTCAGGAAGTGATGCAATTCTTCTTGGTGCCGAGACCCTTCGTGGATTATACCCGGTGGAAACTATTTCTACTGTTGGTAAAATTTGTGCAGAGGTAATTTTTCTCAACCTAAACACATCCAGATGTTTAATTTTTTGCAAGTTGACAACTTAATATTTATGAAATTATGCAACAGCTAAAGGATGTTTTAGTTCACCTTTTTAATTAGAAAGAAGTGCAATAATAAAACACAGTTTTCTTCGCTAACAAAAAGTATCTGTTTGTTGAGTTTTCCTCCTGAAATAATGAATCTTCTCCATATTTCTAGTCTTTCTAAGTTGCTATAGGTTAAATATCTTAAAGAAATGTACCCACTAGGGGGCATAAACCAATTAGGGCATTTTTTTCTTTGAGATACAATTAAGGCATTATCTATTTCACCCTGATTAAGAACACAGACTAGATAAAAAACTTATTTGCAACTAAAATACTAAGTGTACAAATTCAAATCGAAGATTCTTTTGGAGTTACAATGATTATCTTTTCTGCTACATATCATAATTTAAGCATTTTAGCAATAATATTTTGTTATTTCTCCCATGTTAATGTAGGCAGAGAAGGTTTTCAATCAAGACCTTTATTTCAAGAAGACTGTCAAATTTGTTGGCGAGCCAATGACTCACTTGGAATCCATTGCTTCCTCTGCAGTAATCTCCCTCAGCCTCTCTCTCCCTGCATTGACTTCTCAAGAAATCGCTTTTAGTTTTTGTTCAAATGATTGAGTAGTTCCAATTGATTTATTTTTCATTGGTCAATGCTCAATAAATTTTCAGGTCAGGGCTGCCATCAAGGTGAAGGCATCTGTAATAATATGCTTCACTTCATCAGGAAGAGCTGCAAGGTAAATAGATCTATTGTTCTCCATTTTGTTGGCATGTTATTTGTATCTGGTGGCAACAGTTTTATAGTTGATTTTCTAATATGCACTATGTGTATTTGACATTTGTGCATATCCTTCTGAATATGTTACACATGCAGGTTGATTGCTAAGTATAGGCCATCGATGCCAGTTATATCGGTTGTCATCCCCCGCCTTAAGACAAATCAACTAAAGTGGATTTTCAGTGGAGCCTTTGAGGTATTGCCAACTGTTCTGATTTTTTTTATAGTATTGTTAACCTATTACTTGAAACCATTTTAATTTTGTAGAATGTGAATCATTAGGACCACACTTTTCTGGACTCTTCCCAAAATATCATTTTTCTTGAGTGAAAATAACTAGTATAATTCATGCCAAAATGTTAAATATGGTAATGGCAAAATTTTCTCTCTGAGGCATGCCTTGTCTTATGTTGAAGGCAAAATGGTGTGTGTTACTTTTATTTCTCATCTACATACTTGGAAATTGTGAATAATTTCTTGAATTTTGTGGCTTGTATTTCAGTAAAGAAGGCTTGAGAGAAAATTGTTGGCTGTTTCTCTGATCTTTTTAAATAGTTTACTGGGTGATAGTACAAGGCCCCAAAATACTAGCAAATGGATGGGTACTGACAGGATAAATGTGAACTTTTCTTTATATTGTTAAGAATAACTAGCTACCTCAAATTTTTTTTCAAAGTTGGGGTTTTTCTGTATGCGCTGATTTCCGATGCTAGAAAATCATATGTAATTTCTCATTCATGTTGCAGAACGCCTCATTCTATGGCTGATGATAGCATTATCTCTTTTCTTACAATTTTCAGGCCAGACAGTCACTCATTGTGAGAGGTCTCTTTCCTATGCTTGCGGATCCACGACATCCAGTAAGTGCTTGAGTTGTTTTCTGTTACTTGTACATTTTAATTATCTTGCTTTATTATTATTTTTGTAAAATTCTGGGTGGGGGTAGAAAGGATGGGCTTGGGAGGCTGGAACATGGACCTCAATTTCTGGTAAACTGGGCCGAATATCATGGTTGACTGGCCTGAACATCACTATGTAGAGATGAGGGCAGGACAGCAAAGAGAATGATTCGTTGCCAGGTTGTATGAACAAGCTGTAATATTTTTGGCATTCCCCTGAGTGCCACTGCCTTATACTTAGTGTACAAAATTGTGTCATTCTAGATTTACAAACAAGTTTATGACCCTTGCACCTTGAGAGAAATGGACGCAAGAAGAATATCTGTTTCTCGCATAAGTTAATACATAAAACTGTTATACTCAATTTTCAGCCTTTTGTTTCTGCTTTTCTTGTTTCTTTTAGGGGAGAGGGAGGGGACAGGAAGGTTTTGGCATTGAGAGAATATGAGATGGTGCACTTCTATGTATCACATTTGTTACTTTATTTATTTAACACGTTTTTCTTGTGTAATTTGCAGGCAGAGTCAACTAGTGCAACAAATGAATCAGTTTTGAAAGTTGCTCTTGATCATGGGAAAATGGCAGGGGTTATAAAATCTCATGATAGAGTTGTTGTTTGCCAGAAAGTTGGGGATGCATCTGTAGTGAAGATCATCGAGCTTGAAGATTAACCAAATCCTTTTACCTTCGTTTTGAGTTGATTCTTTTTCCTCCTTGGAATGTGATAGTGCGTTGCTGGCACCTTTTTGAGGTATGTCTCCGGAGTTTAGGAGACAAGTAATCTATTTTG